CTGGGTCACGGGGATGCCAGTTCTATTTATAGCACGCAGGGTCACGGGGATGCCAGTTCTATTTATAGCACACTGGGTCACGGGGATGCCAGTTCTATTTATAGCTCGCTGGGTCACGGGGATACCAGTTCTATTTATAGCACACTGGGTCACGGGGATGCCAGTTTTATTTATACCACGCTGGGTCACGGGGATGCCAGTTCAATTTATAGATCGCTGGGTCACGAGGATGCCAGTTGTATTTATAGCTCGCTGGGTCACAAGGATGCCAGTTCTATTTAGAGCACGCTGGAACCCCCAGTTGGTCGGGGGGATATAAATAGACCCACTGCGTCGTCTGCAGGAGGTGTAACCCCTTCAAAGGCGAAGTGTCGCACACGGACCCCAACCCTCTGGGACCCGGATGCGACACCTACTTTGGTGTATCTTCCTCTTCTCCTTCCTTCTGTCTTTCTTCTTCTAGATCTATCTTTCCTACCACCGCTGACCTCATGTGCAGCAAAAAGAGAGGTCACCCACCCCACAGAGTGGGCGCCTTGTTGACCGTGAGGTGCGACCCGTGCGGAGGGAAACCGGGCACCTGGCGGTTGAGGTGAGACCAGTCCACGGACTGTCCCTCGCCAACACACCTCTTTGGCCCAGGTTTTCCTCTTAGACGGGAGGGTGGCACGGCCCATACCACTCAATTGGTTGAGAGTTGAAACTCCATCAAGCCCTGGGTCAATCTTGACGGGAGGGTCTTGCACTTTGTCGTGAAGAGTATAGCTCTGGGGTAGCCCTGGCACAGCTCTGGCTATTCGAGCACTGTGTCACCTTGTTGGGCTCGATGGCGGGTGGGGAGCCCTGGAGTCGAAACACCAGCCAAACACATATATATGGATTCTCAAAACCCTAAAGACCCTTCCCCAGCTCCCGACGTAAAAAAATATATATCGGCTCGCGGAAGCGGATGCGGCCGCCGAGCAGAGCAAAAACTCTAAAAATGGTAAAAGGACCTTTACCGATGCCTCCTTCCTCCCTCCGCCCAAGGAGCTTCCGGGGCAGCCGTACGTGGCCATCCCCGGTAAAAAAGACGCACAGAGAAAGATTACTGATCTGAACCTCTATGCAATACGGAAAGTTCTGGAATACATTCCCACATGTGTACAGAAACTTTCCTGTGGTGCACTCCTTGTCAAGTGCGCAACTGAGGACGAAGTGACCAAACTCCTGGATACCACGACCTTCGGCGGTATTCCAGCATGGAAGTCCGAACGATACCAGAAATTTAACCGCTCGAAGGGTGTCGTCCGCAGCCATGAGCTGAAAG